GTTAATAAATGAAATTATTGCGGAGAAAGCAGTATAGGTTTGGAATATGAGTCAGAGACTCGACACTTTGTGTCTTCAAATGCAGTTGTGGTACTACTTACCCTGCCCTTCGCCCTTAATTTTATTGACCAACTTTGCTATAACTTTTGCTGGTCCACTGGGAAGTTCATAAGGGGAAGCTAAAAGCTCTTCTAGAGTTAGCTCAAGGAAGGCTGAGCCCGGGACCCAGTTGTCTTTGATTTTTTTAATGTCTCCATCTCTGAGATATAACTTTTTTTTCTTCATTATAAAACTTCAGAAAAGCAATAACTTTATCCAGGCTCCAATCATTAACTTCTTGGACTGATGGAAGAGAAGTATTATCAGACATGGTTACTTATTTTTTGTGTTATAAAAGTTGTACGACTTGCAGAGGAAAAAAGTTTATTTAGCAGGAAATAGTCGTACATTCACTTTTTTATAGTTTATACAAACAATCAGATTGTCGTACAACAGGTCACACGATAAAATGACAATACGATATTGTATTTTTTCCCTACGTAGCATAAAATTAAATCTAATCACAAAATCGGGTTACAGTCCCTGCATGCAGAATTTTTATCGAATTTCTTGATTGTTATCCAAGCGTATGGAAAACCAAAAAATTAAAACTATTTATTCTTGAAAAGGTGTGACATCGATGTCACAGTAAGGTTATACGAATTATTCGAGGATATAATAGATGAGTCAGGAACTTTAAACTATTATGAAATAATGAAGCTTTCACTTCTCGCTTCTTTCCTTAGAAAATTACTGCATTCACACCGCTTATATATTCCATTCGCTACTTTTTTGCATGTTTTGCAATATAGGTGTGAATGGTGATTGCATTCGTCACAAACCTTATACCTGTGCTTCTACCCTTTAAAGATATGCTACTTTTCGATATAATTTCGACTTCTTTTATTTGTATTATTCTACATTTGTATATTAATAGAAAAAATAATATACACGTGGTTATTTTTTTTATACAAACCTGTAATTAGTGTACTTACATTTATGCCCTATCTTGTTATAAGCCTCATAAGGCAGGAGAATTTTATGAGGAAAAAAAGGTAAGCCATTAAGCAGTAATATTTATAGGAGTATATGAGTTTAAAAATAATTGATAAGCGTATACATTAACTTTATTTATAGAAACGATAAACATGTTTAGATAATGTTAAAAGATGGAAAAATTTCAGCAAGTGTGACCAGGCGGTCACAGTTGAGTAAAAATTTGATATTTATCAAAATCGGAAAATTTTCAGTAGCTGTGACCCACACTTGAATAAAATTTGATGCAGTAAATTTTATTGGCTTGCTTTTAAAACTTTAGCTTTTACATAATCAATATCATCCATGCCTAGTCTCAAAATAGTTGACGCAGAAAAAGACTTAATACAATATATCTTTCCTTCCCCTCCAACCCTATCAAAGAGTTTAAAGATTTTTATTACCCTTTCCTTCCTTTTTCTAAGATTAGCCTCTGAAACTTTGTCCTGGTCTGAAAAGTGCTCTCGAATTTTATTATTAACTAGAGAATTGAACATATCCTCACTATATGTTTTTTTATAATAGTCAAACTATAACCTATACCCTTTCCCAAAATAATAATATGCATGAATCACTTCTAGAATAGTTTTTTTATTACCATCTTCGGCATTGATGATTTTATTATCTAGTTCACGAAAATTAACCGAGCTAATATCTATATCAGGGAATGTCTGTAGAGAAATAATACTACCAGAAGAACTTTGCTGTGGAATTGGAGCAGACAATTTCTTAATAAGCTTTTTCAAAATAGGCGAATCTTCTCTTCTAACTGCTTTCTTTGCCTTCTTCTTAGGTGAAGATGAGTTGACATCCATACCTTCATTAGAACGTTTTTTACTGCTGGTATCAGGTTGTTCTTCACCATCAACCTTCATTTCTTCTTCCTCTTCCAGTTCTATATTAGTTGATAGACATATAGAACATAGTTTTTGTGGATTATCGATACAATTGTAATGGATGATATGTTTGCAGATTAAGTATATGAGTAGTTTCAAGAGGCCTTGAAGTTGGAGAGAGAACCGAAGAAAGCCTATAGGTAGAAGACATAAAGAAAGATCTTCAGAACATTTGGCACACCTCAAATTACTTTTGACTTGTTGGGTTGCTGTATTCTCGATCTCTTCCATCCGTATAGGTAGTATCCGTATAGGTGGTGAAGATAGGACAAATGTTTCACCCATCAAAGGTGAAATTCTAGTTGATTAGGAGGCCTCCTTGGGATTAGTTAATAGCAAATTGGAAACAGTGCCAAGGGAATTGACTTGATCTAATATTTCTACATTCTTTCTACAACCCAGGAATGGACATATGTTTGGAACAGTAAGTAAAAGCTTTTTTTCAATACAGAGTCTATGAAAAAGGTGTCCGCATGCTAGGTATATGAATGCTTTGAGAGGAGATATTAAAATATCATTGTCACATTCAGAGCATGGCCCTAGTTCTGTAATTTTTTTACTCTTAATAATGCTATCCTTGAAGGTTTTAAGAATATTATATGTAAGATTATTGATATTATTAATAGGAGCAGTTGATGTGGAAGTAGAGGTAGACATATTTAAGAGTAAAATTTATGTGATTAGATTTGTATGCATTAATATAAAGTATAACCAGATAAGTATTTCACAATTTTTTTTTATACTTAGCTCATTTTTATACATTAAACACCCTCATGATTAAAAAAATTAGTTTGCAGATTTTATGAAATCTCATTTTGAATTTGGTGATCTGTTTATTCACAAATTATTTAGTATGGGCCAGGATCACTTGATCTTCGCTAGCAATCGTGGATAAATAATTTAGCTTAAGAGTAGACCAAAAGGGTCATTGCTTTGCAATAGGTGTGGTTAGTGAGTTGGTTAGTACTGAAATACTTCTATACTGATCTCCAATTCGTGGATTTAGGCTCGAAGAGCTATTTCTTTGAAATAAAATACATGACATCGCTCCACTGAGGCTCATTATTGCTTTGCAATAAGCTTTGCCTTATAATGTCATGTGATTTCGAAGTTACGATGTAGTTATGCTCCAATAATTTATTATACATATAGATTAGATCTGTTAGCATCTTCACTCTGTGAGTTAACCTCGATAATTAACTTTACCTTTTACTTTACGCTTTCGAATAGGGCATTTCTTTACTGCTCTAGTCTTATGCGCATGTGTAGCTTCTATTTCCGAACTAGATATGGAAGAATTACTTGAATCACTATTTGAAGTATCTGAATTGGAAGAAGTATCTAAATTGGAAGTGCTCGAATCTTTCGATTTCTCAGGAAGTATTTTGTAAAAATCATGAATATCTCTTTTATTAACAGATACTATTACTCTCTCCCCTTTCTTCTCAGTTAGGTTTTTAATACGCAAAGTTGTTCTTACCTAGGCATCTTCTGCATCAGTCACTATTTCTGGTATATAAGTCTGGAGCTCATCATCATCATATTTGCGTCCATAGAACCAATTATTACTAAGCAATATATAATTAGGTAATGTAGAGTTATATCTATCAACCAGTACTTCAGTTAGAATCATAATAGATTTTTTATTATTAAGATGGATATTATCTTTTATATTAGATGTAAATATAAGTAGGATTACAGCCAATCCAAGTGGAGCTGTGGCTTTTTCTCTGATAAATTTGCTATCTTTTTCTTCGAGTGTTAATTTTCTGCTAATTTTACCATCTATTTTCTTGAGGAACTTATCAGTATACATTAATAGGCTGAGAAATCCTAGTTCGAGGCGACAATTAATTTTCTGTGATCCTACTTTAGCTTTGACTATTTTCATAGTACATTATATTATGTGATACATATTTGACCGAAAAAATAACTAACAATTAATTATCTATTTCCTGCTAGTGGGTGTAATTGTTTATAACCCACGATGAATGATTAGGAATAAAATCGATATTATGTGTCTCAACACTAGCTCCACTATTATCTTGTATCATTCTACTTATAACCAGGAGAGGTACATTCACTGCTTCAGAATCACTAGATTCAAACTCTGTTTCAGAATCACTAGATTCAGACTCTGTCTCAGAATAATCTGAATCGTAATATTCATTTAGATCAATAAGGTTATTCTCCATATTTTGGTCAGAAAACTCGATTAATATAACTTCCCCATCTGAATTAATTGCAAAAAATTTAGGAAATAATAATTCGTAGAATGTATATAATGAAGGAGACAGAATATCAATACTATTTCTTGCATAATATATCTTTTTTTTCTCATTATATTCCCAATATCTCCTATTACATCCATCAATCCTATTTCCCAACCTCGTTAGCCACGTGCTTCCTAAAACCAAATCATATTCAGGCTTGTCAATAACTAAGAAATGTTCATATGAATTTCCTAAATATAAGGATGGTCTCAAATCGGCTAAAGGCTAGCTTACGTTAAAGATATTAGGTAAAGAAATAGAAACTTCTTCATCATGAAGCCACCCCCCTACTATCACTTTCTTACCAGCATTTGTCACATCAACACCAAGAGCTTCTACCGTTGGATATTTAGATCTATCCATCTTTGTTATATATAAATTCATTTTTTGGGCAAGTATTTTACTGATACTATTATACTGGGATTTGGGATCAATAAGTGCTTTAACAGTTGTTTTACTATTAATGAATGAGCAGTCCACTATTAATCTTTTGCGAATTTCTCTAATAGCTTTGGTTTTCTATATATCATCTAGACTATAGCAATTTTTAAGATCTTGAATCGGAAGATACTTCGTAATAAATGGTATTAATTCTGGTGGAATAAGATCAAGTAAATTAAGCATGGCAGAGTATTATATTTAATAATGTATTTTTTATCCTTATTAATAAAAGATAATTCAAAATATATGATGACTGAAGTTAATAACAAGTCTGTTATAAATGAAGCAATAGTTAAAGATAATATCAGCGGAGCTGGAACGACCAATGTTCATCCGTTTCAAGAATTAGTGAAAGTATTAAAATAGTGATCAAGTCTTTTACAAAGCGACAGAATACTATTAATACGATATCCAGTATTGTTAGTCAAGTATCGGATAAAAAAAATTCAATTTCTCTCCACCAATTACTGGAGATAGTGAAACCCAAGATTCAGCAAAATATTATAAACGCAATAGCAAACCTGGATATTTCTCAGCAACATATTCTATGCAAAGCTAGAAAAAAACTAATTTTTAATGATACTGCATCTGAGTCCTTATCCACATCTGAATTTGGGTCTAGTTCTGAATCATCTAATGATGATGAAGATTTTACTGTGAAAGTGGTGAAAGCAAAGAAGCATGATTAGTTATCATCATTATAGAGATGGAATGGTCTCACTTCTTCAGGCTTTT